CCTTTTATTGGGTAGACATGCTGCAAATATTTTAGTCCCATCTGTAGCTTTGTTGTTCACTTTGTTAACTGTGTAGTTCATAGAGCAAAGTGTTTAATATTTAATTTCATTCAAAGTATCAAAATTTTCATTTGTGGAACATGACTTTTTGTGAGTACAATTCACAATCTCTTTGCTGAAACCAAGGTCATATACTTTTGTCAAAGTTCACATTTTACCTTTAGTAGATGATTCAATTTTTGAGTTAATTTTTGTATGAGGCTTATGTGGAGACTTGTTATTGTCCTTTTGAATGCCTGATTGTTCCAATAACATTTTTTGAAAAGATAATGTTTCCTCCACTGATTTGATTTTGCTTTTGATCCTTTGTTAAATAGCAATTGACCATGACATAAATCCAGTTCTGGACTATACCTTCTCTTTCATTACTCTATAATTTCACAACATCACTGACTGTTTTAATTACTATTGCATTATATAAGACAAAATATTCTATATAAGTCGTCTACCTTCTTTTTTCCTTTTTAAAATTTTTAGACATAAAAGCATAGAAATTGTGCATATTAGTGGGGTAATGTGAGACTTCCATATGTATTTAAATTAGATTAAACACATCTATTTCCTCAAACATTTTTAAGAATTGTATTGATATTGTAGTCTCTTTGCCTTTTCATGTAACTTTTAGAACCAGCTTTTTCAGAAATATTGACAGGCACAATGGTTCATGCCTATAATCCCAGTGGCTTAGGAGGCTGACGCAGGAGGATTCCAAGTTCAAAGCCAGCCTCAGCAACAGCAAGGTGCTAAGTAATTCAGTGAGATCCAGTCTCTAAATAAAATATAAAAAAGGGCTGAGGGATGTGGTTCAGTGGTTGAATACTCTTGAGTTCAATCACTGATACCCACCCCCTAAAAAAAGAAACATGAAATACTGCTTGGTTCTTTATTGAGATTGAGATATACATACATACAATGTATGTGTATATGTATATATATATACATATACATATATATATACATATATATATGTATATGCAATACATATATGCATATATATAGGTTATCAATATAATATTATTGGGTTTCAATTCATAAATATATATCTGTATTTAGTTATACCTTCTTTGAAACCTTATACCTTGGTTTTGTGGTTTCAGCATAAAGATCCTATCTGTATTTTGTTAGATATATAACTCATATTTTTAATGTCATTATTTTTTCTTGAGTGAGCTGTGGTAGTCTGTGGCTTTCAATGACTTAATTAATTCACCTAAGTTGTTATATTCATTGACCTAAATCAAAATATTTCTTTTGTGTTCTTTTAATATACATAAAAACTAGTGAGGCCATTACTAGCATTGCTATTATTGGCAACTTGCATATTCTCTGTTTTATTTCTTTTGTTATTTCCTGACAAATATGTTTAAAAGTTTAATCAATTTTAGGGACCTTCTAAAATAACAGCTTCTAATTTTTATGTGTGTGTATGTGTATATGTATGTGTATATTCTATATATGATGGAAATTACATATAATAAATATATATTATGTGTATTTGTTATATATTAAATATATCATGTATTAATATATAGTGTGTATATAACATAATATGTAATGTGTATATATTCTATATGATACGTAATATTTCTTTTTCTGCTTTATCATTTTAGTTCAAATCTTTGTTTTTTCCTTTTATCTGCACACTTCATATTCAATTTTTTCTTCTTTTGCTAATGTATTAAGATAGAGGCTAAAGTAATTTTTTAAAAAATATTTTTTAGTTATTGATGGACCTTTATTTTATTTATTTGTATGTGGTGCTGAGAATCGAACCCAATCATCACACTTGTGAGGCAAGCACATTACCACTGAGCCACAACTCCTGCCCCCCACCCGCCCCAGGCTAAAGTAATTGATGTAGAACCTTAATCCTTTCTGTACAGATATTTAGTGTCATCAATTCATTCCATAATGCTTCAGTGGCACTCCAGAATTTTGATACAGTTTGTACATTGATGTTTGGATGGAGAAGAGTGAACATTACCCAAATAGTTTTGTGTGTATGTGGGATGGGAGGTAGATATTGACAAAACTGTTTTTTCTTTCACTTTCCTTCTATCTTCTGACTGAAGAAACAGGCTTTTCTTTATCATTACTTCTTGGTGTTTGGGGTTGGAGACGTGGACAATTACCTGGTTTTTGTTTTTATTCTTTGCAGTACTGGGGATTGAACCCAGGCCTCACAAATGTTAGGCAAATGCTACATCCCCATCCTGGATCACCTGTTTTGAACTTTGCTTTGAAAAACGAAGTTTGTTTGAACATTTTTATCTGTTTTAGTGTTATTAACACTGGATCAGGGAGCTTTTACTCTGGGACTAGTTTATTCAGAATATTAATAAGGCGACTTTACTAAATGATCTAGTCCAAGGCTCTTTCTACTCTTACCATTCAAAATCGAATTTCTCCCAATGTGTGAGTGCTCTGGAATCTTTGACCTTATTCTCCAGTGGTTTTCTTCCCTCTGGTAGTTATTCTTTGTTGCCCAGCTTCATGGAGTTTTGTCCTACAACATGTCAGCGTTCAGCTAAAGGATTTAGGGCATTGCTGTGCAGATTTGTAGTTCTTTCACTCTATGATTTCTTCCTCTTTGGTTTTCTATCCTAAAAATTCTTGTGACCTCAATCTCCTTTAAAACACTGATTATTG